GCTAGTGGTTAACAAAGTATAATGAGCGATCTTCAATCTGAAACAAGCAAGTTATAATATATATGTTTCACGGAGCAAAGAATGAAGGAAACGCATTGTAAGAGTAATACTCACTTCTTAATTTTTGCAACTCCTTCTTTTAAAGTATCCATCGGGTCTTTAGCAATGTATATGCGAAGACCGACCATCAAGTTTTTAAAATATTCTTTCCAAGATAGATCTAGTATATTGAAGTTGAAAATCTCACGATCAGTTTGATTTAAACTATCCCAGAGTCTTATGACAGAGTCATTGCGAAATTGCCATTGGCGCGTTGAGAAGTATGATATCACATCGCAAAATATATGTATTTTTTTATAAGTTTTCAGCAGCCTAAAAGTTGTCAATTTTATTACTTACGGCTAAGAAATCTTACTTACAATGAGAACTCTAGAATATACAAAATAAATATCTCTGGTAATTCACGTTAACTATTCTCTTACTTTTCCTTGGGAAAAGAATTTTCTTTATTTTGGAAACAATTTTTTAAAAACCTTTATCTTTTTATAGGTTTTAAAATTTTATAGGTCTCGAAACTAGCGCTATTTGTCAAAACCTTCCTCTATTTTAGCTCTTATATTATTAATAACGGACCATATATTTTTTAATTTCGAAGGAATTTAATAATTTTCTTACATAGGTTTTCGACCCATGAGGAAAGCCAGAATGTCAAATATAGCACCGGGTATTGTATGCAGAAATATCACATATATCTCATGCATAAATCGGTATCTATTTAGCGTGAGCATGTAATACCAGATGTACTTCGTACTCGGTAAACGCTTGCCGTATTTCTCACTTAATTTCATGAACCTTTCCCAAGTAATAGGATTTTGAGTTGACGACACGCAGTTGTAAATCGGAATTCTCTCGGTTTCCGGAACGTTCGAGTTTTTGTTGTCAATGCTGAGTAAAGTATCCCTAATAAGAAAAGCATGTTAAAAAAAAAGTATAAGATATTAAAAATAAAAAAAATATCAGATATTACAAACGAAAAAGGATATAAGATATTAAAAACGAAAAAAAATGTAAGATATTAAACCAAAAAAAGTATAAGATATTAAAAACGAAAAAAATATAAGATATATGACAAAGGTCCATTTTTCCAAATGTCAACTTACTTTCTTTTGGCGGTGTCCCAACCTGCAACGATAATGTTCGCTATCACGTAATCAGCGGGCATAATTTCCGCTGTATTTTCGGGTATGCAATGTAAAGTACGTAGCAAACCCATAGAACTGCCTACAATTACGCCTACTGCACCATATATGTTGTTGATCCATCCAGGTATTGGTTCTTTCGCCGTTGATGTTACAATCGAAGGACGTATGATGCAAGCTGATAACCCGGCGCTGTATTGTCGCACTGTATCCTCGGCAATCGCCTTGGTGTACACGTAA